TTGTGGAGCGACGCGAGAGCTTCTGGGAGCACTAGGTTTCGGTGGCTCTCCGCTTTAGAGCTGCCGTCGATCATCACGACAGCATAGTTGTAGCTTAGTTGTACAGTAGTGGTACATAGTAGTCTAGTACATAGTATTTATAGAACATATCAGCAAGCTGGGTAGATAATGTCATTCAACATGTCGATTCAAGGGTTTGGTCTACCTCACCCTCACGTTTCATCGTTGCCACGAAGCAACCTCGGCTGTCGCTCGCAACTGCTCGAATCCAAGGTATAGGTCATGGTTAGGTGCAGCCCGCAGGTACTCGATGCTTGCGCCGACTCGGACTCTGCACAAGACGGCTCGGTCACGGCCGGCGCGGCGAGTGCCGACTCGTTGGCGGCCGTGAGCAAGGGTTTCTTCCCCGAGCTGCTCTGGTACGCGGCCAACCTCAAGGCCGGTCGCGCTGCCGGCACGCCGTAAGTTTTGGTAGTCGTTCCTCATTTTGAAAGCACTACGCATGTAACATGATTTTCCTATTCATCATCAAACACTTTGTAAATCCAACCTAGGAATGACCAAATGATTGATTTTGACAGTGTGAATCAGCGATCGTGCACAATTTGATAATCTTGTCTCCTAATTGCAGGGTGATTTGTACATTTTTCATGCAAAATTGCTACCCATATCGTCCAAAGCACACAGCAAGCAGCAAAGTCGCATCCGCCTTGCATCGAAAAAGCCTTGGCAACCGCCGCCTGGTCCTCCGGCTGCCACGTGGCGCGGTAAATGGCGTGCGATTAGCCAGATCGCGATCTTGTGGGGGCACGACATGCCTCTCGACGTCGGCGACAGCGTGCGCGTCAAGAGCTCGGGCGCGCTCGGCGAGCTCCTGCAGATCCGCGTTGCGTCGTCGGCCTACGTCGTCAAGCTCAAGGACGGTACGCTCCTCAAGAACGTCCCGTTCAACGACGTCGAAAAGTACTCGGCGGCTGCGACACCGGCCAAGCAGGCGATCGTACTCGCTCCCGACGCATTTGCTGTCGGTACCAAAGTCGACGCCAAGTACAAGGGCAAGACGTTTTACCCGGGAACGATCGCGCGGGCGCACGCCGACGACCGCTACGACATCGACTACGACGACGGCGAGAAGGAAACCAAAGTCCCGCGCGACTACCTTCGGATCGTAGCGGCATCAACCGCCAAGCCGACGGCGTCGCCACCAGCAAAACAAGCGGCGAAGAAGGCGGCTACAAGCGGCGACGAGCTGGACGTGGGGACCAAAGTTGAAGCGCGCTATAAGGGCAAAACGGCCTACTGTCCGGGCACGATCACCAAGGTCAACAACGACGAGAGCTTTGACATTACGTACGACAACGGCGAGAAGGAGTCGGGCGTCGACCGCGACCTCATTCGGTCCACCGATGCGCCGCCGGCCAAGAAGCCGTCCAAGACACCGTCGAGCCCGAGCAAGCAGAGCGGACTCAAGGTCGGGACCAAGGTCGAGGCTCGGTACAAGGGGAAATCCAAGTACTACCCCGGCAAAATCGCCAAGTGCCACGCCGACGAAACGTATGACATTGACTATGACGACGGGGAAAAGGAAAAACGCATTGAGCGAGATCTCATCCGAGTGGTCGTCACAAGCAGCACCAAGACCTCTCAACACAACACCGAGACGGACCTGGTCGTCGGCACCAAAGTCGAAGCCAAGTACAAGGGCAAGACGTACTACCCTGGTACGATCGCCAAAGTCAACGACGATGAGAGTTATGACATCGACTACGACGACGGGGAGAAGGAGAAACGCGTCGACCGCGACTACATTCGCATCGTCGCCGCACCAGCGAAGCCGGCACCCAAGAAGAGCGAGAAAAAGAGCGTGTGGGAAGCAGGCATGTCAGTGGACGCGCGCTACAAAGGCAAGTCCAAGTATTATCCCGGCAAGATCACCAAGGTGCACAGTGACGGAACCGTCGACATCGACTACGACGACGGCGAGAAGGAGAAGCGCATCGACACCGATCTCGTTCGAGCCAGAGGTAGCCCCACAAAGCCGGCGACAACGCAGCTCGACGTCGGCACCAAGGTCGAAGCCAAGTACAAGGGCAAAACATACTACCCCGGCAAGATCGCCCGTTGTCACGCAGACGGCAGCTACGACATCGACTACGACGACGGCGAAAAGGAGAAACGCGTGGCAGCCGACTTCGTTCGAGCCAATGGCAGCCCTAATAAGGCGGCGGCAACGCAGCTCGACGTCGGCACCAAGGTTGAAGCCAAGTACAAG